ATGCATCTTTATTCTTCTTAACATAAAAGATTTTTATTAAAAATAAAGAAAAAATGAGATCCCCCCTTCATCTTCATCCTCCTCCTAACCCCCCTCCTCTTAAGGAGGCTTACACCTCCTTGTGTTCAGGAGGCTTATGCCTCTTGCATTCTGAACTACGCCTCACGCCTCTAGGTAGTGGAACGCTTGGCGTCATGCCTCCGTGTTTTAAAACATTGCTATGGAGGGTCCATGGAGGCTTAGAAACCAAATTAGAAAAGTCATGTCTCAGGTTTAGGTTTTTCAAGCTGAATTGATTTGTGTGCCTAGGTCTACAATCTCTCTTGCAGACTCTCTAGCTCCAGAAGGGGCCAGCAGACATACCCTGGTGTGGGGTCTCCATCCAATCGGTCGAAAGAGAGTGGCCTGGAGCTCAGGGTTGTTACTGATGACAGGGGGAGGTTGGGAGAGCGGTGGGCTAGCTCAACTGGAATATTTTGTACATTTTGTGTTGATCATTGTACAGTAATCATTTACCGTATTTTCATGAAATAATAAATATTATCTGCCATTACTGATCAAATCTTCAATGCACCTTGCTTCCAGAGCCTCAACCTTGGCTTAGACAAGGATATTTATTGGAGAATTACATTGGTAGGGGTCACCACTTGGATGAGATCACTTTTCCCGTGACCATATTTTAGCCCCAGGTTGTTTCTGTGAATGAAGCAGCTCCACATTGGGTGCAGACTGCACAGCCTACTTACAATAATGTGAGAGTAACAGAAGACAAAATGGTTTAACATTAACATAAACTTCACTTGATAATCTCACTTTATCTACTGTTACTCCCACATTAATGTGAGTGGGATCTACACCCAACATTTAGGGGCTGTTTGAGAACAGGTGAAGTGGCTGAACTGAAAAGCTTATTGCTTTTCCTTTTAGTGAATAAGATTTTAAGGAGGTTGGGAGCTCATTAATTGCTGAAGCTAGAAATTGGGTAGGTTACTATTCCCTTGAATATTTTATTATTTAATTATTTTGTCCACTAAAATACAAAAACTAAGTCATTTTAGTTGAGCAACTTAAGCTCTTATCAAATGGTCCCTTGGTCTCTTCATTTGCAGCAACCAGCCATTGCTAAAATATGGTTGCAGCAAAAGTGAACTCTTGACTAATACTGCAACAAGCATGCTGGCTTAGCATTGACTCCCTCTCCCTCCCTATTATAACACGTTTTATTTTTTATTTTATTTATTATTATTATTTTTTCTGTTATAGATTACTTCTGGCAAGTATTTTCTTTTTTTACTCATTGGCTGCTTTACTGGATCAGGTTGCCCTTCCATATGTAGAACCACTAATTCATTTTGCACTGGTCTATGGAACACGATCTGGGCCATCTCTCCGATGCTACTCACCTGGGAACATTGACAAGGAGCTGATGGAGGCAGCCCACAATTTTCTAAGGAATGGAGGGGTCATAATTGATGCTGAAACAAAGGTGGCATCACTCAATAAGATTCTTCGATGGTAAGTTGTTAAAAGAGAACTCCTAAAAAGATTCTTAGTATTTTCTGTTAAAAAGATGATATCCATTTGAAAAATAAAGGTTTTACAAGCTTTCCCAGTATGAATTAGAGTCATAAAAATTCATGCTTATCAAGGGTTGCCTAGTTGTACTTGGGCTGCAAAGATGGCATGTATCTAGTTGTGGGGGGG